TCTTGGTTACTTTTCTCTCGTTGCTGAGACAAAATACCCAATGCCCAAAATGAAGGAAGGAAAGGTTTATTTAGCTTACAGTTTGTGGAGGTTTCAGTCCATACTTGGCTGGCTCTGAGGCAGAAGATAACAAAGCAACAAGAGCAAAGGGGGGAATAGCAGCCGAACAGCAATGCAGCCAGAGCAAAAGGGAGGAATGGTGGCCAGCAGCCTCTTTCCCTCCTTTACATTGTAAACAGGCTACCCCCACCTAAGGGGCGTGTAGCTCCCACATAATCTCCATGTGCTCCTCTTCCACAGACTCAGGATGTATACGAAGTAAGCACCCTGGCTTCCTGCTGAGTCACTTAGCCAAACCTCTAGACTCCCCAAGTTGACACAATGTATCAACCATAACAAGGAGCTCTTTTTACTGATCTTGGGTTTCAGTTTTGTTGTCCTAGTTTGAAACTACTCTTATTGAAGGAGATAAAAGAAACAAATTAGTCTAAGAAAACAAAACAAAACAAAATGAAGACAAAAGAAACAAGTTAAAAATGGGAGAATGCATAAATAAATCTCATCCTTGTCTGTTGGTCCTGTGCTGGAGGCCCACAATTTCTTGTCTTTCTTGCTTTCCCCAAAAGGATCAAAATCCCTTTCTGGGAAGGAAAAAAGGAAGGAAGGAAGGAAGGAAGGGAGGGAGGATAGAAAGAAGGGAGGGAGGGACAGAGGGAAGGAGGGGAAAATCCCTTTCCAACTTGAGTGTTCTGATGGTGTTTTCTGATGATGTAAATTCATGCCACTCCTTTACATCTGTCCTCTATACATACTGTTCCTTCTACCTTGTGCACACATCCTTTTAAAAAGCTCATCAGGTAGTAGTCTTAATACTTCTTACATTGTTCTACCAGTGTCTTTAGATCCTGAGCCACGTTGCCCATGGGTAACTTAAACGCCTTTCTGCCCCTCTCATGCTGTCCCCTGTGTGGCTTGGGCTGGAAACCAGGGAATTACATTTCCTAGCGTACCTGCAGCAGGCTGTGTGTTTAGACTGGCGAGGAGAGGAGCTTGTGTAAGTTTTGGAAAGCAGAAGAGAAACCCAGTTCTGGTGACAGCAGTGTGAGGTCTGGGTATATTGATAAATGTCTGGAAGCATAGAGCCACCACTTTGTGCATCTCTTGTAACTGTAGAGGCCAAAGGTAATATATTAATCTCATGATGTCTCAATACATTTAGTATTAAAATATTTACAAAAGTGTTTATTTTGTGTATATACATTTTTGGGGCAGACTCTATATGTATATGTACATGTATATGTATGTGTGTGTGTGTGTGTGTGTATATATATATATATTTTAGTTTTTCATCCCTCTTAAACTATATTTTGTTATGGGCAATGTACAACTTTTAACAATTTGTCTTTCTTCTAGCATATAGGTCTGACTATGCCCTCTGCTACTATGAACTAAAAATTAGGCTGTCATAAAAAATATGCCTACACTCATAGGATTTTCCCATTGTTTCTTGCATTCTGAGAGGGAAAACTGCTACCAAACTGACCAAGTTCCCCTTTGGGAATGGTAATGTCAGTATTATGCATAGATAGAATTATACACTTAGGAATGCAAAGATCCTTAAAGGTGACATAATTGGATTTCTAACTACATGTTGGAATATTTACAACTGGAATGGCAAAGAACTGTACATGTGCTCATTGGTTGTGTCTCTTGTTGCCAGTGGAAGGCATGGATAACATCTCAATGCTCTTTCTACTCAATGTGAACTCAGCCTTAGAAGCCTCCTCCTTTCACTATCTAGCCAGCTAGTAGCAACAGCCAAGAGCTGCATTCAAAATGGAACCATTTACATCGCTGCCAATTGTCCAACTGTCTAACATCTATCGTTGTCTATGTCTGTCATTGCCAACTGCCAACTGTCTAACATCTCCAGTGAGAGTGAAGGCATCACTCCCCAAACCTGCCCTTTCTATCTCTAAACAGTTCCATCAGTTAGAAAGTTCCTCCTTACATAGGACTGAAATGTGTGTCCCTGTATGTGGCTTCCAATCATTGGTGCTAATCTTACTCCGTGAGATCACTCATAATAAGATCAAATATATTTCCATAAAAAATTTTCCCACTACTTGAAGACAAGTCTCTTTGGTTTAAATCTTTTCTTAAGGCTAGTAAAAATAGTCCAAGCTCCTCTAGTCATTCCTTATGCTATTTCACAATTTTAATGATTCTCTGGAAGTTTGCCTCATTGTTTTAGGTATGGCATTCACAAAAGTTTGCTCTGAAGAGTCTAGCATAGACAGCTTCTCTACACTAGCGACACACTGACCCACAAAATACCACCGAGCTTCACAACACTAAAAGCAGAGGTAGGCTTCTATCCGAGACAGACTTGGTTAACTAACATTAGAAAGTTTTCTGGATAGTTTTGCAGTGTCTTTGAGACCACAGGTGCAGTTTATATTTATCAGATGACCCCAGGAACCTCTTGGATTCACAGGTGGGGGCATTTTGGAAGATGAATAGACCGGAGGGGTTTTTGCTAAATGTGATGTTAGGAGATGGAGCTTGGGCCAAAGAGGCAGGTTAGTGGGGACATGGTCTGGTATGGTATATCTCCCTCCCCAATTCCTTCCTCACTCTCTGCTTCCTGCCTGCCATGATATGAGCAACCTTTCCTCTGCTATGCCTATGTTCTAACACACTAGAATACTAGATCTTTTTCTTATGTATTATGCTTATTGTTTACTATTTGTCCCTCCTACTAGACAGTGGGTCCCACGTGAGAGCACGGATTTTTGCTCATTGATAGCCTAAGTACTGAGAACAATGGCTGTCCTAGAGCAGCTTGATGAAGATCTACTCAGCGTTGGCAGACCTGTGGCAAACTTGAACACGATACACTTCATCTCCATGGTCTTTGCCTCAAACACAAGTCATCCAGACAGTTGTCCTCTCCTCTACTTTTGTCCTTCTACTGCTCTGTGCTTTCCCTTTCCTGATCCAATCTCCTGTTTCTTCCTTCTCACCCATAACACTACTGTGCATGTTCAAACCTCTTTTTGTGGTTATTAAACATCTCTACATTCTCAGACCTTTCACTCAGTCTTCTCTCCTTATCTCTTCTTTAACTGAAATGGGGGTCTCTACTCAGCACTTTCCCTGCCCCCCCCCATTCATACTCCATATCCTTCAGGGTCTGGAAGTAGGTGGTATTCCCTTCACTTTCTTTGTCATTCCCTGACTATTATTCTTCTCCCCTTAAGTAAAAAGCTCTTGTCACGTGAGGCTGACACCAGCCTATTCTCTTCCTTGTACCTGCCCTGCACTGAGTGCGAGGTGACAGCTCCATTTACCTCTGGCGCTCAGTTTGTTATCTGACTCAGCCACACCGACTCTCATCTACATCCATACTATTTTGGCTCCTCACATGCATGGCCAAATCTAGACCATGTTATCACCAAATCTGCACCACTTTTAAAGTTGTAGTCTAAAAACAATACTCTCTATTATTTACATCTTTTTTTTTTTAATTCCACTATGCTGATTCTTTGACCTTCTTGAAATCTCCCTTCCCCCATTTTTTCTGTGTTGTCCTTTTCTAACAGTCTCTTAGTATTTCACTTCTTCCTGACTAAGCTGAGACACTAAGAGCCATCACTTCCTACACCACAGCCACTCTAACCTTCATGGATTTTTAAACTGGTTCACATGATACATAGTACAAACAGATTTGAGATATTGCAAAAACACCCCCTCATATGAACCAATGTCTCATTTTATATAGGAATAGGACTAAGTAAATTTGTTAAGTTTAAAAAATTGTCAGGATATAAATAATGTGAAAGTTGAAGGATCAGTGAATTGTAATCAGTTTTTATGCTGTTACCACACTGTGGTGCCATTGGCTAATCAACAGGAACACCTGCCATCTTTGCTCAGAACTGTGTTAATCTCACTGCTGTTTATGTGTAGTGGGACTCTGTACATGATTAGGATGACTAATGTGCTGTTATTTTACAAACTGTTATAAGTGAAAATATTTTTATATCTTACAATAATATCTCTCAAGCATCCATTAGGCAGTGGGGCTAGTGATAGTGTTGAAAAACAACCCCAAACGATAACTGGAACACAAGCTGGTGGTGATAAAATGCAAAGAAGAAGGCCAAACATCCACTGTGAGAGCCTGGGCTGTTAATTTAGGTCAAAGCACTGCTCAAAATTAGATCTAATGAAGGACAGACAGAAAAAGAAGTATTAAAGTAACACTATGTCACAGTGCTATACATTCATGCATCCCCCTAAAATATTCCCTTTACATCTTTCTCTATGGGGTAACTGGTCTTGAAGTATGAATTATCAATCATGAGACCATTTCAGGAACACATCTATCACACTAATGTGAATATCTTTCTAAAGTCCAGTACTTGCCTACCTTTTCCATGAAATGCTTTTTATTCCAATGTTGTTGGAATAAGATTCTGTTGGAACCAGATTTCCTGCATCTGATCCTCCAGCTCAACCATTTTCTAGTTGTATGGCTTCAGGAAAGTTTCTTAACCTCTCTCTACACTGTTTTCTTCACGAGAAAGATGGTAATAGCACCTATCTTAAAGAGACCTTGTGAGGACAGAATGAATTGATACATGTACAATGAGAGATTTCTGCACGATTCTGAGTATTTTCACCACTTTCCTATCAACCTTTGATGATACTGGTAAGGATGAATTTATTTCACTGGGTTACAAAGATAAAGTCCCTTTTTATTGACAGGATATGCATTACTATAAGATATGCAGAAATATGAAGATTTTGCTGTTTTCTTTGGAAATGCTGCAGAAACTACCATAGCTCTGAGTCTATAGCAGTGTATGCAACACATAGATAGTCTTTCTGGTACTCTGGGTACGCAGTATGATTCCGGAGCCTGCTCAGACACTGATATTTGTGTCAGGTGAGTCAGCAGTATGAGTTAGGGAGCGTTTCTTTAACCATCTTACCTTTAGTCTGTCTTTGGGCAGTGCAACAATCCCTTGCTTAATGATTTCCAAGACTCGTTCCACTGACAGCTCAGCTCCAGCTTGTAGCAACCTTGAGCTAAAAAAGGTGATCACCTGTAATGTAAAGAGTAATTTTTAAACAAATAGTTGTATATGATGTATTTTCAGTAGATGCCTTTGTTACATGGTAGTCAAACCATCATAATTCCATTTCTAAAGTGGCATGGCTTCCACTTTACCTATCTTTCTAAATGCAGACCTCCCTTTTTAGGGTTTGATGGCTAAATGAGAGCCAAGCCTGGTATTCAGGGCTGATCATTCATTGACTCTGTGAATTAAGTGGCTTCCACAATTCTGCTCTTTGTTGTGCTGCCCCACCTTGCATTTATATTTCATTAAAAAGCTCCTAGCAGAAGAGGGGAATAAAAGCTAAATCCTAGAACCTGTCAGGTTTGAAGCTTAATAGGAGGTCTGAGAAAAAGGCTTAATAGGAAAGGAACTTTAAGTTAATGGCTACAATGATGTTTTGGGGATTATAGGTGAATTTATTTATATACATCATCCTTATCCTTGATCAGCAGGGATAATCAACAGAAAGCTATAATTACCTTTGTTTCAAGTCAGAGCACAGCCTAAACTATGTTGCAAGATGCTAATGCAGTAGCATTCTGGAAACAGTGTCTGAATATTTGCCACTAAAAATGAAGACAGGAGTGGGAGATGTACCTCAGTGACAGGGCACTTGTCCAGTAGATGTGAGACTCTGAATTTAATCTCTATACTGCAAAAACAAAAACCCAACCAAACAAACCAAAAATGAAATACAAATAAGTAGAAAAGAATCACACCATTTCTTAGCAAATCATTTCTTAAATCACAGTGTTAGCAAAGCAAGAAGGCTGCTGACCTCTTTGTATTCAAGAATAACACTTATGTATATACCACCAGACTTGCAAACATACAAAATTTCTTTTCTAAAGTTGAACTTTCCCTTTAACATCTTTTCTATTTTATAAGTAAAATACTAATTCTTTGTAGACACTTTAATGTTGTTTTAAAGTTATCTCCTAAATATTAATTATGGTAAGGTACAGTGAAGTCTTTTAGTAGAAAGTACACATCTTACACAAATGCTACTGCAATTTGTCCTGGAAAGTGAAGCTGCTCTGCTAAAAAATGGTTAAAGAGTAGAAGCACATCTGTTAGAAACACACCCTAAGCGATGAAAAAGTAGATGCCTGAGACTTACAAATGGTTTTCTAATATTTACTAAGAGCAGATATTTGCTATTGGAAGTTGTTTGGCTCCTAGTTGTAGATAAGGTAGATAAAGAGTAGTTCTCAGACATGGCTGACCATAAACAGTAGCTGGGCAGCTTTGTGAAATACTGATCTTGGGGCCTAACCAGAAACCTTCCACATTGTTTTCTCCATGGGATTTTGATGACAGCCAGAATCTAAACGTCTCTAAACTTTTCTTATTGTATATGCCTACAGATTCTAAAAAAGGGAGGATGCACTTGCAATATATATTGTATTCATTTATAAATTATGCAATTATTTCTCAACATTGTTTTCTATACCATAAATGTACATAAAAGAAATTTTAAAAATTGAGATAAAGAAAAAACCTAGATTTTAAAAGTACTTAACTGATGATATAAAAAGCTTTTCTGTATTCATTAAAATATTATTTCTGCTACTCAGGAGGCTGTCAGGAGGCCAGACTGGGAAAATTAGTGAGAGCCCATCTCAAAAAATAAAAAGGCATGGGGATGTAGTTCAGTGATACAGCCCTTTGGTTCAGTCCCTAGTATATCAAAACAAAAACAGAAACAACAACAAAAAGAGAAAACAATTTGATAATTGGCTATCATGTCTTGCTAATCACTAAGTCTTCACATTATCATCAAGTAAAATACACACTCCTAGTAAGACACATTGCTTATCACAGCTGATATAAAGCCGTAACGGAAACAATCTTCCTGATAATGTTCCTAGAGCCATGTCTTATAGATGGGTTCCACCTTGTTTCCACCTTGTAACATGGCACCGGTTCTAGGATGAGAGAGAAGTTAGTTCTGCCATCATCTCTTGTCATGTGTACCGATGCTACATACAGTATTAACTTCAATGTGGAGGGTAATATAATGTCTTTTGTTGTGAAGGCCTGTTTAACCGAATCTACTACAACTAGGGACACAATTCTACAGTAAAATCATGGGACTAGCAAGATGAGTGTGCATATGTTAAGCCCTGCATGCTGGGTCTTCCGTGCTTTCCCTCAGGGTACCCAGAGCTCTGGGGCTCATTCCGCACAAAGTCAGTGCCAATACCACTAGTAAAACAAAATCTGTGTTTAGATGAACAAATAAAGCTGCAATATATTCTTCCACATACCTCCTGCAACTTGTAGGGTCTGTGCCTAGGAGACCGCTGACTGAGATGACAAAGCTCAGTGGAGCACAGTGTTCATATACACACTCAAAAGATATGACACGGCAACCGAAAAGAGACTACTCACACGTCACCTCCCCAAAGAACAGAGTGATGCGATGACAGTCCCATTTTGCTCACTCTGTGGCCTACACTGGCTTGCTTCTGAGTCACAAGAAATTTCCACCCCACCAAGAGAGCTGCAGAGTAGGCACGAGGCTCAAGTTCCAAATAAATTTCTTTTTTCAAAATAAATTTTATTTGTATGTTATTATTTGTAGGTCTGAAGGCTGATAAAGTTTTGCATTCCAAGTGACGCTACTTTAGAAAATGAAAAATTACCAGTTCCAGAAGGGAAGCATAATTTATATGTTAAGAAGGAAGGAAAGGAACCTCTACTACCTGTTTACTATGGACTATGTGCTCTTCATATACATTGATTTCACCCACGCAGCAAATTTGTGAGGCTGATAAAATCTCTGTCCTACAGTTGAGTAAATGGGATCAGAAAGGTAAGAGGCCGGACCAGAGTCACACAGATGAATGTTACAGACTGAAATTCAGGTATCTCTTCTGACTTTGTCATGGCTTCAGCAATGCTTACATAGCAAGATGGAGCATAGGCTTAGTTTCAAAAATAGAAAATGCTTGAGATAAAATGCATAGCTTGTTTAGCCTAAATTTTCAGATGGAATCAGACTGAAATATCAGCAAAAAAGTAAAAAAACTCAAAGATAGTATCTTATATTTCTTATTGTCAGTTTAGGATTTTGCACGCACTACTAATTTTAGTGATGATGACTTCACAGATAACATTTTAATCATCGTGTACAACACTCATCAAAACTGTTAAAGCAGATACACTTTTCTTCCTCAGAAATTGTGTGTTCAAGACATAGCCAATAATCAAAGAAAATTAGAGCGTTTAGCTACAAAGGGAATGAATGCAAAGGCAACTTTTTAAAGGAAGGCACTTTCCCACAGTGCATGCTTTACAAGTTTTTCCACCTACCATATTTATGGGCATCTCATGAAATCCAAGTACTGTACAGCATTATACTCTCAGCTTTACCTCCCATTATACCAGTAGCTTTGAACCATGACTGCGCAATGTCATGTTCTAATTAATCAGTTGTACTCTTCACAAACTCACACTTAACCACCTGTCGTGAAACTGGCGAATGATCATTACATCATAGATTTACAAAAAGAAAACAATTTTCAGTTGGGTGTGGTGGTGCATCCTTGTAATCCCAGCAATCTGAGAAGCTGAGGCAGGAGGATCACAAGTTTGAGCCCAGCCTCTACAACTTAGTGAGACCCTGTCACACATACACATGAACGCATTCAATAAATAAAATAAATGACTTGGGAACACACACACACACACACACACACACACACACAGAGCGAGTGAACGAGGGAGAGAGAGTATGAGACAGAGTAAGAGCTTTTTGGGGTGGACAAGGGTAAAAAAGAGCCAGGGTATGCTAGCCCTCCAAGTATTCTTCCTTACTAAATAACCACTATCCCAAGATTGAGCAGTAGAAAACTACTCTTTTTGTTCTTAAAGACAATAGTAAACATGTTTTAGAGAGTAAAATACACATTTCCTTACTGACTTATTCTGGTTTTCTCTCCAGTTACTGTGTTTTAATCAATGTTTATTGACAGCCTCCTTAAGAGAAGAGATCTCCAGAGGATTTAGAAGGGAAAAGATATTATTTCCTGTCTTCAGGAAAGACACAGTGCAACTGGGGAGACAAGACACAGATCAAATGTGTATAATTAATAGGTTGGACATCATGGTAGAGTAGACTAAGAACTACTCAAACTGAAAAGACGTACTTTGGGTCCTGCCTCAAATACTTCCTAGCATATGACTTGTAAAGAACTTAATTTCTTCCAGAGGGTGGCATCATGCAGCAGTTTAGAGTGTATCTGGGGTTAGATGGCTTGGGTTTAAATCCAAGCGCTCCTTAAAGCCTTGGCAAGTTAAACTTCTCTATGCTTCAGTGTCCTGTCTACAAGTGAGGGAAAAAATGTAGTGCCTGTCTCATGGTACTGCTGTGAGAATTATCTGCAAAGTGAAAAATGCCTTGCACATGGTGAGTGCAACACAAAATATTAGGTTTCATCATTATGAGGAATACTTCAGGATTTTCATTTACAAAATAAGCATGCTGCCAATTCTACCACATAAGAACCAATAATGACAAAGCATGCTGAAAGCAGTCTGTTAGCAAAGAAACCTGTGGAGGCCACCACCACGACCAGCTTATCCAATCAGTGGCTTCTGTATTGGAGTTCTATTTCCTGATGTTATACTGCACACAGGTAAAAGATTTTTAAGAACTGAGCTTAGTGGCAAAGGCCATTTTGCTCAAATTAGATAGGATTAACAGGTGAGACGTACTGCAGTAAATCCCAGGAAAGCTTATAGGTTAAAACCAGCAAGATCATTGCTAGCTTAAAAACTGCCAAGAGCCAATTAAAACTCCCTTGATTTTTATTTGAATTTATGCATAACTCTTTCCTTTCAAAAAGTTAAGGTTCGTACCAGAGCAGGGTAGCTTTCTTTAATATTTGGTTAGAAGAATTTTTCTATAATGAAAAAATGTTGAGTTTTAATAAATGCTTTTTCTGTATATATTGAGATGATCACACGGTTTTTCTTCT